TAATTTGAAATTTGAAGTTATTTGCTTTACTTGGAAGTATATTATTTCAAATCTTGTTGTATTACTTTTGAATTATGAAGTGCACACATTGCAACATTTGCATTCGCACTTTTTCCATTGATATGTATCTGAAGAAACCGTAGCCGAATTGGTGCGGTAAGTACCGGTACAGTAACACACGTTGATGAGCAATGTGGTTGCATCCCTCACTGCCTCTCCTTGAGACGTGTAGAAGTGAAGTCATGCATTGCATTGCATCATTTGTACTTGCACTTTGAAGTATATTTATATTTCTATGGAGCAATTGATGTATCTTTTATTATCTTATTTAAATTTGATGCTTAAACAAACTGTGATTTAAATAACTCAGTTAAGGCAGTTTGCTTGCTAAGGTTTTCCATAAACCTCTTACGCTTGTTCCCCCATCTCGGGTACATGAGCTCAAGGATGATTGGTGGGATGGGAGTAGCAGCACGAATGCACACTTGTTGACATATACTTCAAACAAACATATTTGTTACAATGAATTAGTTGGTTTTCTATGTTTCCTTACACTGTAATAAACACCTGAGGTTTGCTGGTTGTCTTTGAAGATGCCTCTTCTTGTGTTATCGTAGGAGACTTAATTTAATGCTTTATCTAGATGATGTGTTTTTGCTTCGCGTACTCTACAGTTGTAGTGTAGTGTGGTAATTCTCCAGAGGATTGTTGTGTTTTCTTCTGGAATGTTACAGTATGTGAGGACCGAGAGAGTCTTGTAAGTTTTGGTGGTTCCTATATTTCGGATGCCTAAATTTAAGAATATTTAAGGTGTACTAAAATGGTGGAATTCTCCTAGGGTTTTTAAGTAGTAATAAAACATTACCACTAGTCATGGCACATGGAAATCCTCACTAGGAGACATTTGGTAAGGAAAGTTTATACTAAATTTTGAATGCCAAAAATACTAGGAGAAACCCACATCACTGAGAGAAGTCTAAAATTGTGGTTGTGTATGGTGACCGGTTGCAACATAAAAACCCCATATCGAAAGTATCGAAGAATATCTGCAACATTAATGTGGGAGATGAATATGCATCATCACTACAAGAAATGTGTGGTTTTTTTACAATCTATTTATGTCATAATATATGGAATTAATGTCACAATTTAAGATTTGTGACATCCAGTTGACGAAAATCCGAACGTAAAAAAACCACCGTTGCAAATTCATTATGTGACGTCTGTATATTTCATGTCACAAATCTATGGCATTGGATTTTAGTGTCATAGAGGTTTATGACATTGGTTTATTGTCACAAAATCCTAGGCCTTGCCACATGGGCAAATGCCACGTAGGATCAAAAACTGACGTTTAGCGAAAAAAAAACATCACAAAAGAATGGCCCATACGGGTCCATATTCTAATACCAGATCAACAAATTCATAGGCCATGCATAAACATTTCATTTATTATCACCGAATTCATGTTTCAGTACCAATATCAAAGTCAAAGTTATAAAGATAAAAATAAATAGATCAAAGTTTCACAACATTTTGTGAGTCACTATTCAAAAGATGACCAAAATCACATTTAGCAATGTGAAGAAGAGGCAAATCCGAGCCACTTGAGAAGAACACCTACATGTGAACAAGAGTTGATTAGCAATGTGAAAACTGATTCATCGTTACAAAATTCACCATGCTCCTATGTTCCAGATATATATATTCTTAGCCAAACACTTGCACTCAGCCAAACAGTTACCTTAATTTCACATTCATATATTTGCATATGTTTCAAAATTCACCATGCTGATTCAACATTACAAAAGCTTGTGACCTACTCCTATGTTCCAATTCATATATTCTCAGCCAAACAGCAAACTAGCACTCAACAAATCAGTGGTGAGAAAAAAAGAAGAGATGGCTGCACTTACATGAGCACTGAAGAAATGATGATCACTGAAATCCAACCTATCAACTTTGAGTGGACCAATCTCCATTAAGCCTCAAATCATCTGCTCTAATCATCTTACGAAGGCACATCTCCAATGTTCCTGCTAGCAAATATAATGCATATCAACTTAATAAAAAATAGCTTGCAAAGCATACTTATCAATTATTGCACTGACTACAGGCACACAAATCTCACAGTATCATATTCTACTCTCTGCTACAGTGATTCCATCTTTGTTCTGGAATGAAAGAAAGGACAACTCTGACTCAGTTAAATTGTTAAAGAAAAACTGTGCAGAGCTCTCTCTTTCTCTCACAGGTTGCACAATGACATTCAGACAAGTAAAATGACAGGTTGCATCCATTTTCAGACAATGCAGTGACATTCAGTTTTCAGAAGAAAAAACATGCAGTACTCTCTCAGGTTGCATCCATTTCTGTACTTAACATGAAGAGGTGATGAGGCTAATTTTAACAAATATAACACAGGCATAATTTTTCAATATAAATTAGACGATTAATGTTAATTTGCAGTGCCCATCATATATCAATTATGGAACCCACACAATATCAGGATTGTAAGCATAGGCCAAGATGCCTGAATCAGTCATCTAGTAAAAAGTTAGCATGGGCTAGCCTAATTTCATTGAGCAAACTTTCCCATTCACAAATCATTTCCTCAGTGGCCTAGTGACAAGTAGATAACTTTTAATTAACTGAGAACAGCGCAAAAAGAACTTACTGGTTCTAAAATGTCCAAGATATGCACATTATATGATGACGACACCATCTGTTGCAGGATATGCACATTTGAGATAAGTCGGTTCAAGAAAAGCCAAAAATAAAGGAATAAGGAGCTAGAGTAATCAACAGCCAAATACTATCATCAACTAATATTCTCATCACTGCAATTTCTAAGATGATTCAAACATTTCAAATAGATGTACAAGATTGATAAACGCAAGGGAGGACTTGCTGGTTCCCGGTTCAGGAGGTAGAGGAGTGAACATCTAAGAAGACGGAGGACCTCTCGCACTCGTAGATGACCATAATTTATTACCTCTTGCACTCGCAGATGATGAACATCTAAGAAGACGGAGTCGCGCTGTCTTTCTAGTTGAATTACGAATCCGAAGGGGATGAGAGAAGTACCTGCAACTCTCGGCGAGCAGCACTGAGATCCGGCGAGGGGAACGCCGCACGGCCTGGGGTGGGGCAGCGAGCGCGGCTCCGCGTGGCGTCACGAGCGCCGCCGCCGCGTGGCCGGGGCTGGGGCGGCGAGCGTGACACCGGGCAGCCAGGCGAGGTCCGGCTCCGCGCGGCCTGGGGCAGCGCGTCGAGCGCGGATCCGAGCAGCCTAGCGATGGACGGTGAGCGGCCTGGGGTGGGGCGGTGCGAGGCCTCACGACCGACAAGCGGCGCGCCGGCCGGCCCTAACCCTAGCTCTCGATCTATTCTTTCGTGGCGGCCGGAGGAAAGGGAGGACGGAAAGCAGCGATGGAGTTCTGGAGGAGTGGTTTGCTGGGTCGTGTACTCGTTTGTGGACTCGTGGGATGGGCCGTGCGTGGTGAGTCGTGGGGTGTTTTTTTTTCCTTTTCCTTTTCTTTTTTTTGTTTTCTTTTGGAAATTCTTCTCTTTCTCTCTCCTTTTTTAGAGAAAAGCTCAAAAACAAAATACAAAAATACACGAGCCCACACACACATTATATATACATATATAGCTAGATTGTCAAGATTAAATGTGCATACATTTAAACCAGGGCTCATTGTAAACTAGGCCCACATATATATACACACATATAAGTTATATAATTTTTTTCACATGTATACATTTTAATTATTTTTGAAAGTTGTTTTGGTGAACCTGGTTAAAGTTCGATCTTAAAAAAACATTTATAAAGTAGGGTTCATTGTCTCATGCAATAGATGCCCTTGACAAAAGCAGATAAATTATGAATGTATTGTCGATTTTTAAATACCACAATCAACACGAGCATAACACCCGATGTGTTACAATAGGTTCACACCCATGGACACATGGTTGTGGAACATGCCAATATGGACATCAATGTTTAAAAAATTAATAAATTATTTTGTGACACACAAAGTCTATCATAGATTGATGGCATTTGTAAATTAGACTTTATGACACATAAAATGCCTCTGTGACATAGCAAATATCGTCATTGGATAAAATTGGACTAGATGTATGACGTTTTTTGTGACATACAACTTTTTATTGTCACTAAGTCGAAGTGCCTAAAACATAATGTCATAAACCGGGTGATATAATGACATTATGACCTATTGTCATGCTCAATACGTCAAAAAATCACACATTTCTTGTAGTGCATGTTACACATTTTTCTACAACATCGAATAGCAACATCTACAACGTTAATATGGGAGCTCAATATGTTGATGCTCTTTTTGTCTGCAACATCGAAAAGAAATATCTATAGCAAGTAACAACGGACAACAACATATGCAACATAAAAGCAAAGTATCTTGCACATATATATGACCTGAAACAATCATAAAGTTTAGGCACCTGACTTATAATAAAAGGGAGTTTCAATATTATAGGTTTGTGAAATTTAATAATTTTTGGCAGGCTGGTTATGATGTAAAAAATAAGCATTCGAAAAACTGAAGAACAATGCAACATCAACGTCGGAGCTGCAATATGATGTTTCAAGTTCCATTCATGATTCTTACTGAAGGACGAATCTGTATTATCAGAAAATAATGTTTACAACTAGTGGTTGCGTTCATGATTCTTATATTAGTTGAGCATAGAGAAAATATAATCCCCTGATGTGCCAACTTATCCAGAAAGTTGAATAGTTCACTTTCTCAACTAGAAAAACATCAAATTTATCACAAGTGTGAATCTTTTGATGATGCTTTCACATGATTTTTTCACTGCTTAGTGCTTACTCATGAACAGCAGGAATTTGTAATCAAATTCCATGGAACAAGTAGAATTTATTCTCTTAAACCCTAAGCTAGACATCTCTGTCATTTGTTGGACGACTCCTTCACTGTCTAAACCTGTCATCTTCATCAATCATCAGAGTCTGTGTACACCACCACTGGGCTCCTCACTTCGTGCTCGTTGTCAGACCACACGATGGCAGCCGAGATGACCTGGCCAGCCGCGGGCACCATGCCGGACACCGTCACGGTGAACGAGACCTTCGGTGTCTGCGTGTTGAACTCCAGCCTGCATGGTGCAACAGCAACCGCGAGGTTATCTGCTGGATCCGTAAAAATTACCTTCATGTCATACACGGCGGCCACCCCTGAAGCTCCGACGTTGGTGACGGTCCGTGGGAAGGCCAAGGTGAAGTTCTTCCCAGGCTCCACTCGGGCAGCCATGCTCGGATAGTTGAGGTCACCAGCGGAGGCGGCCGCTGTCGAGGTAGAGCCATTGGAGCAGGCTGTGGTGTTGGAGCCAACGATGAGCGCGAGCTGCGTGGCGTTGTACCCCTGCGTGCACAGCATGGCGATGTAGTCGCCTTCCGACGCGTCGTACACGAGCCCTGGGTCGCGTGCCTTGGTTGGGTTGAGCTGCCCGGCGCCGTACTTGAGGTCGTTTGTTCCGGCATTGCCCGGCGTGTTCATCGGAGTGGTTGTAGTGATGAGAGCAGACATGATCATCGCTGTAGACCAGTCACGGTGGACGGACTTGACATAGGCTGCGGCGCCGCTTGCATGTGGGCACGACATGGATGTGCCCGTGTTAATACTGTACTGGACCCTCCTTTGATCTTTGGGATCGTCCGACGGCGGTGACAGTGGAGACCAAGCGGCTATGATGTCCACTCCCGGTGCAGATAGATCAGGCTGTAGATGGATCATAGATACCGTACTCATCTCGTGTTAGAAAATGAACAATATAACATATAGACAGATTAAAGGTACGGGGTTTGTATTTTTGGTTTGCTGTGAGAACTAACTAACTACTATCCATGAAAATTTGTAACAATATCTCTCTTTAAATTATGTGATGTTGCACCTCCCATTGACACCATCTTGAGGCTCATTTGACCAACTACGTTATGCAAAATGTTGCTTATATTTTTGGTTAGGTGTCTAAGGATTTAATTGTGGTAATCTACAACTTTGAGGGGTCTTGCACAAAGTGCCCACTTCAGCCTAAAAGGGCTACCAGAGATCCTCTTTCTGCGTGGTGTTTGTTCTTCCCCTTTGGGGGTCGAGGGAGAGAGGAGATTTGAGGGGTGAGGCTTTAATCGACCAAATCCATCCATTAGAGAGTAAAATCGGTTGGGATTTGGATCGGAGCCTCTCCTAATCTTGTTGGCTCCCACCTCTTGTATCTTAATCTTCAAAATGGATTGCTTTGCCTGTCGCAGCCCGTGATTTTTTCCCGCAAGGGGTGTCCACTTAAATCTTGGTGTCTACTTGTGATTCAGTATTTATCTTGCCATATTTGTTTATTGGTTCATATCTTGCTTTGCTATTGTGCCATTTTGTCCAAGTTTATGGTGTATGTTGAGTTGGCATATGAGGCATACATGCGTTTTTTGATATGTTGATGATGGGGATAGATGTGTTAGTTAGCTGATCCTTGCATGTATATTCCTTACTGTAAAGTTTGCACAACAATATGTTTGACGAATTGATCCTATGAGGCTGTTTTCTAGTATGCACATAAGGTGTTCGGTGAAATGTTTGTAAGTAATTAGTTTGCTAATTTCGATGTTTCCGCTGCCCCTCTGGGCTCACAAATTATTATTAATGCACACGGGCTAATGCAAGTATGCAACTAGTTACTTCATAAAGATTACGAGCTGATGGAATGACCTTGAGGATCTCAGGAGTGACCAGGTTTGGGCCAGGAGAAGAGAAAGAGGCGGCAATTGGAGCTTGTGCGTTCCCCATCGTGTAGGTTCTTTCTATGGTACCCACAGGGTCGCTGAAAATCAGGCCAAATAATTAATAACGCCAATGTGTCATGCGTGAGTACTACTAGCATGCAGTTCATCAGAGAACAAGCTATGGCGCGGCCAAAGAACTCACCTCGTGCTGTTGGCATAGGCCAAGATTTCATCGAACTGGCTCTCAGATACCACGAGCGCGGGTAATGGATAGATGAAGGCGGCATCTGGTGCTATGCCAGCAGCGATGACTCCTGCTGCGCCAGCCAAGAGCGGACCTGCAGATATATTGGTTCGAAAGCCGTCCTCGACCGGGCAGAGTAGGATCTTCCCTTTGTATGAATCTCCGACGAGATCATCTGGATCACACGAACTGCAGTTCAAATAAAAGAAACCGTGAGTGCTAATCTATATCTATTTCTTGTATGTGTGTCTCGTAAACAACATAGCAGTGTTCATTGTCCTCGCATTACCCATCGATGGGGAATGCCAGTGTCACATTGTTCACCGGCGGGAAGGTGTTTACGGATGATCCCTGCGTGAAAAGTAATTCATGTTCGTGTTAGTTGTTGAGCCATCTGCCATGCATGCATGGTTTGGAAACTCGAATGTTATAGACTGCTGCTCGGTTCCAACGCTGACCACTATGGTCTTGCCGTTTCCCAGCACGACCCTGTCGACGAACCGGCGGTCGATGCTGCTGGCGGCGACGGACAGCATCCACGGCGCGACGTTGCAGACGCGGCCGCCGCTGAGTCCGGAATTGCCGGCCGATGCAGACGTGACCACGCCGCGCCTCATGGAGTGGAACGACCCGATGGCCTGCGGGCTCTTGAAGTAGTAGAAAGGGAACCTGGTCGCGATGGAGAAGGAGATGACGTCGACGCCGTCCGCGATGGCGTCGTCGAACGCAGCCAGGATGTCCATGTCCCGGCAGCCCCCGTCATCCCAGCACACCTTGTAGATGGCGAGCCTGGCGCCCGGCACGGCTCCACGGGCCACGCCGACGGCCAGCCCGCCGAAGCTGACGTTGCCCACCGCCCGGCCGGCCACGGTGGACGCCGTGTGGCTCCCGTGGCCCAACTCGTCCAGCGGCGACAAGCCAGTCACCCCATTTTGATATGCCCGAGCGCCGATAACTTTACTGGAGGCCACGAGATACTTTAATATATACCTAAGTTCAGGTCACACAAAATCTTGGTTCTAAATAGCCCGTTATTAGTTATAGCTTTTCAAAAAGTATACTGCCACACTATTGTTAACTGTAATAAACCATTAAATAATTATTAAACCGTTGAATACTCAATAATGTTGATCACAACAATGGATATAGTGAATATTAAATAATGGACTCTCCTAAATCTTATACATATATCAAAATATTTGTGTTTCTTCAATAATGTTTGTGTGCATATATAATTAATTAAGATTTTTTCTATTTTCGATAAAACCGTTATTAAATGGATATTTTGCATACTTGTTGCATGTGAAGTTTTGACAGGCGCCCTTCCACCTGCTCGGCGGTGGGCCAAAGCCCTCGTCGGAGAAGGACGGGGAGTCCAGCCATATACCCGTGTCGAACATGCCGATGATGACGTCGCCCTCCAAGGCCAGCTCTTCTTGTGGTGGTTGAGGCAAGCCCAAAAAGTCCCACGATCTTGTGGTTTGGAGCTCGTGGGTTTTGCTTGGGAAGACTGACACGACTCCCTCCATGTCTGAATATATTGTATAGCCAACAAGTCAAGAATTGAGTAATTGAGATCATCCATTTCTCGAGTTCACAGAGCCAAGGCGTTTGGCTTGAAACATTGGGAGCGAATCAGTTTTTCAGGATCTAGAGCTGTGTCGAGCTCTACCAAACACCTCTGTATGATCTTTGCCTCTTATATAGATGTAGCAGGGCACTAGTACTATTAGATGTGCACCATTAGACACAATAATTTTTTCGTGTTTGCCTTGTTGGACCGTTGTATTGACTTCTCAGCCAAGGCATGACCCTACTACCTCCTAGTTGTGTTGTGTCAGCATAACAAACACGGCAGCCCAGCGGCCCCGTGCAGCCTAGGTATTATAGGAGTCATGCGTCGTTGCTGCATGCTTTATGCCACCACCGTCGTTGTCGTCGTGCCTTGCGTGCCATCGTTGCTCCCAAGTCATTTCTACCTGTGCCATCCGCCTCCGTTGAGGAGGCCGGGAGAGGTGGCCGGTGACCTAGGGTGGGAGGGAGCTACCGAGCTGTACGGATGGAGGTGGGGTGATCATGGAGGTGTAGAGCAGATGGGGTGGTAGCAGTAGCAGAGCATGGTGAATCGTGGTGGGTTGTTGTCCCAGACATTAGTGGAGGGTGGTGATTCATATTTTATATATGTCTAGAGTTATAAGGAGGGATCGGACCGGTCCATTGGTTGTGCCGTTCTAGTGCTAGCACTACGGGCCAGGTGGTTGGCAGAAGCACGATTCTATGCATCAGGCCAGACAAACACTTGCCCTTTCCGTCGGGCCATGCTAGGCTAGGCCTGGGCTTTAGGACCATGCCTAGCTCTACTGGATGGACCCAACCCATTTGGGCATGTCTCATCGTGCTATTTTCCATTCAAAATGGTATGTCTCATCGTGTTCTTGCACATGTACATCCCTAAGTTAAGTCTCTTCTTTTGGGGTTACTCTTGCTGGTATGACTATGTTTTGTGCAACCATTGACAACGGCAAAAGTATATCCAAATAGATGTAGGAGTACTTTGTGATATTTCTTATAATGAAAGTAATGGGTAATATAATTCATATATAGATTTCGGGTTACTTTAGGTTAATAGTGACAAAGGCGGGTAACTTATATGCAAAATTTAAGGATCCGTTTAGATTATTTTTCATAACGTCATTGGTGCATATTTAGATGAAGATTGGGGGTAACGTAAATTATTATAATGTCAGGCGTGGGTTGTTTAGACAAATGTTTAGGGAGTTGCTTTGTACTACTTTCATAATAGAAGAGGTAGATAATTCTCTAAATAAATAATAAAATATATCCAATTAGTATTATTATTGTTAGATGACATTAGAGCCTACCAACCTGATGGTGAGATGTCCCTGTTTTTTTATAGATCTTTTACGATCTATCTAGCTTTTTTCAAGGATTAATGTGGAGGGTTGAAAAGAGTTTGTAATTAGTCATAGTCAGATATATGCATGTCCCACAGAAATTATTGATTTTTGTTTACTAGCTCCCTGGTCAGTAAGTTAACCTGATTGGTGCCGTTGATTTTTGCATTTTAAATTATGTATCTATGTAGATACATATGTTTCAAAGAAAAACTATCGATGAACATGGGGAGATGTCCACTACACAGAGGGGGGGGATGGGGGTTGGATCTATACCAGCTAGTTTATTTGCCTGTTGTTCAGTTAGCCTGGCTGCAAAACCATTTAAGCTTCTCTTGTAACTATGGATGATCCTGTCCGAAGCATAGCTGCAAAAAGACAAATTAAAGCATAGGTTTACACTCAACTAACTTTGGTTTTATTTTGTTATAGAAAGAATCCCTGAACGTGATCGGCCATGACAAACAACGCCCCAAAGGCGACGACTAAGTCTAGCATGATCTGTTCTGAAATACCATATAGGTCTGGTCCAATTAAAAAGCGAATATATGTTATCAGACCTGCCGTCGTCAAGGACCTGGTTAAGCAGGTCGTGATGAGCAGCTTCTAAGGAAGATAAGCCTTCATCAGGCTCCGATGACGTATCCGATTCTGGGCTGGGCAGGTGCCCCAGGTACACGATGTAGTCCTGCACATTTCACAAGCAAATGCAATCACAATATATCACATGTTACTATAGTAGATGCAGCATGCAGGAGCAGTCATATGCATGCTCACAGATGGATGATCTGTCTGACCTGCTCTCCGTTGCTGCCACTGCTGCTGAAAATGGATCCAGAGGCGCTCACTCTCTCAGTGAAGAGAGCGAGGAGAAGAAGACAAATGCTGAGACGGCCCATTGGGTCGTCGATCGTCTCGTCGCACGTGCGTACGTGATGAAGAAGCTTGGGTTGTTCTTGTTCAGCTTCAGCATATGAACTCTGATCCGATGGTAGGATTCTCCATATGTTTATATATACTTGCACAGCTTGCAGGGTTGCGTTGCTTGCTCCGACGGTAGCTTTGTATTTGTTCTGTAGTGTAGATCACAAGAAGTAGGAACAAGGAAAATGACATGAGCCGTGTGCTAGAGATCCATGTGCCTACTTCATGCCACGTAAACTCCTATCTCAGATTCTTAGAACATATGTTCGGAGCTATCTACGGGTAGGGGGTTAAACTAGGATTTAACCGGAAGCTGTTTCCATTCTGTTCCTATCACGTTTCCTACTTTCCTAGCAATAAATGACAGTTTTGTTGTTTCCTACTATGGTTTAATTTTTCTCAAATCGATCACTAGTCCATAAAAACACATCACTATGCCAAAACAATATAAAGAAGGCATCCAATTCATATATAGAGTCTCACTACTACAGAAAACATTTTTAGCGCTACCACTTTCACAGCCAGATTTATTAAAACAGGCGGTTTGTAATACGAACTGGTGGTGATGGGGCAACGGTTCATATTACCAATCGGTGGTGAAAATGGGTCTTAGCAACAACACTGGTTCGTGTTATCAACCGGCTGTGATGATGGCCTCCTTACCACCGCCAGCTTGTCGTATGATCTGGTGGTGAAAACGGTTTTCAACACTAGCGCATCGTATGATCCCGCGGTGATAACCATGCTACAGCATAATAAATCTATAACTTTTCAAACAAAGTCGGATATACACAAGCTTTATATCAAAGTTGTAGATCTTAACAGGATCTACAAAGTTGATTACTTTTTTATTAGAAATCATTTGTAGCCCCAAAAGTATGTTTGAAGTTCTTATATTTTAAAATTCAATTTTTTGGAAAAAAATGTCCAAACAAATTCTTATATAGAAACGACCAGAACCAATGTTATAGATCTCAATGAGATCTAAAACTTTGTAGTTCCTGAACTTTTCATTTGAATTTGTTTAAAGCCTTAAATATTCATTACAATACCAGCTGCAACTAGTTGCAACCAGCTTGAAAAGGAGAAATTTTGTTTCAAATGATACCATGATTCCTCTGAAGGAAACTAGAAGCAAAGTTGTATATCCTAATGAAATTTATAACTTTGTAGTCCATGACTTTTTCATTTGAAATCATTTATGATCCCAAAATTTTATTTGAAGTTTTCATATTGTAAATTCATTTTTTTCCGAAATGTCCAAACAAACTCGAATGGAGAAAGGGCTAAAACCAAAGTTGTAGATTTCGATGAGCTCTGCAATTTTATAGTTGATGTTTTTTTCATATAAAATCATTAGCAGCCCTAAATTTATGTTTGAAGTTCTCACAATTTTAAATTCAAAATTTTCAAATGACATTGGGTGGAAAAACAACCAAAATTAAAGCTGTACATCTCAACAAGTTCTAAAACATTTCAGTTGATTTTTTTTTCATTTGAATTTGTTGAGGGGGCTCAAATATTCATTACAATATTTACTCAAATGAACACAAAAGGAATATATATACTACTTAAACACAATTGAGTGTGAGGTGCATTAGTAAAGGGAGTAATGCGTGAGGCCGGAATGTATATACTACTTAAACATATGTACAACTTTTTTTGCAACGCAAGTGGTTATTACATATAACGAAACATATTCATTACAACATGAACGTGCTATTAATTTGTATAAGGTCCTATGGCTCCTAATGACAAGAACATAATTATAGTATAGTGGTAAGTAACTTTCCTGGAGACAAAATGGTCTTAGGTTCCAAACTAGGTTACACATCTTTTTTGTTTTTTTTAATTTTTCCCTATAAGCGTTGTCCTTCGGAACCTTAGCGATTGCAACGATTTTTTTTCGTTGCTATATGTACAACTCTTTTTGCAACATCTTTTTTGTTTTTTTTTTAAATTTTCCCTATAAGTGTTGTGCTCCGGAGCCTTAGCGATTGCAATGATATTTTTTCGTTGCTATATGTACAACTCTTTTTGCAATGTAAACGACTATTACATAAAATGAAACATATTCGTTTCAACAAAGACACGCTATCGCAACCATCAACTAAAGAGTTG